GCCACGAATACCGAAGAAACAGCGACCACCTCGACGCTTGGCCGAGTAACGATAACGTGGTCTAAGTAGCTGGCAGTGGAACGTCTCTACTTGCACCCAATTAACGAGTGAACCGGTAAGTGGAATGTTTAAATTTAATCGTCGAATTGGGAGAACGCAATTGGAGAACGATTGTTTGCAGCTTCTGGAAAATGGAGGACGCGGAGGCTATCGCGGTGAAGACTGAGGCTGAGTTGGAGAGGGAACTAGCCTGCGACGATGTATGATTTCTTCTTTTTTAATATGTTACAGTCTTCTCTTTTTGAAAAAAAAAAAAAATTTCGAACAGAAAAATTTAGCAATTTCTATCAGTCTCTGTTCTTAATTCTCAATTTTTGAGCAGAAAATATATATCGTGCTTAATTTCCTTCCGCGGGAATAATCAACAAGATTCGTTGGCGGGAATAAAATCAGCGTTTCACAGCTTCGAAACGTGTTACCCGACAAAGTGTCTGTTCGCAGGAGGAGGCGCCGTTCACAACCACGACGAAGAACGCGCTGATAACGACCCAGCTAAATCCATGCGACGTCTATCCGCATCGAGTGAAGGTGTCGATCGTCGGCGTAGGAAAGGTTGGGATCGCCTGCGCGATCGCGATCCTGATGAGAGTTAGTATTGGCGCGGAACCGAGACACGCGGATCGCAACGCTCGATCAACCGTTTGATTCCTCGTGATCTTTAGAGGATGGCTAGCGAGGTCTGCTTGATCGACCACGACGCGAACAAGGCTTCCGCCGAGGCCGAGGATATTCAACACGTCGGTGTCTTTTTAGGATGTCCTTTGGTAACTGGCACGTCAGGTACTTCGGAATAACTGTATACACCTTCGTCTGACCCATTTTTCCCGTCACTTTCACCGAAAGCATCGTCGGTTAAGCACAGTTCTTTCATATTTTTTAGAGTATTCTGCTGGATCTTTGTTTCACAGATGAAATTAGAATTAGATGAATACACACAGCTTTTCTACTCGGTTTCCTTGCACATTTTCATTAAAACGCTTCAACCACTCATTCGCATTTGTTAAAATCGAAGATAAAAGAAAGATGACGACTGAAGCTGTGATTATAGTGAACGAACTCGATATGAAGCCAAAAGTTTCATTCGTCAGAACGTCAATTCGTCCGAATGCGTCTTAATACATTGTTGACGGAGACTTTTGTTTCTCAACTGTTAGCGCCGGGAGACTCGAATTGTCATCGGTGGTTTTCATCTGCTGGTGACGAGATACCGGCAGCAATGTGTAAAGAGGAAACTGAACACGAGATGCTGTTTCCAAACGAACCGTATACTATACATATCTACCAATTTTCTACAGCTTCCACAGGAATCCAAACAGCTTACGAAAAGACTGAAACGGCTCACATATGACCATGAAAGGCTACAAAGTCGATCGTCATCTGCCTCCAACAATTCCTTCCGCCATCGAGAAAATCTCGGCCGCGAGACAGGTCGAATTCCAGAAATTTCCGATCGACGCGTCCGCAAGGATAGCAAGCTCGCATGAGCCGCGATCGTTCGGTCGGATCGAGGGTCCGCCGCTTTAAAAAGACAAGCCGTCGCGTCTGGTTGCTCGTCAGGGGACCTTCTGTCAACGTGCAACGGGTCAGAAAGAACGGTCACAGTGGCCGAGAGAAAGGGGGGAATGAGTTTTCGGGACGGGCAGAAGAGTTCCGAGATCCGGATCCTTCGCCTCTTCTACGGTCCTGTCCTTTAATCTTCGCTGTTCATCTACATCGCCGCGGTGCTTACACGCGGCTCTCGCTTCAGCGTTTCCCCGAGCTTTTCACCAGCCAGCTCGTAAATTTCGTGCCACTCTTATTTATCTCGGCCGTGATCGACTCCACGATACATTTTTTCCTTTTTTTCCCTATTCTCTTCTCTTCCACCGACCTTCCCTCTTTCTCTCTTTCGCTCGTTTTTCGCTGTCCTCCCCTGTCAGCCGTGCGCGCGGTAAACGTGCTCGCTTGTAAAAAATATACCACCTTGCTCGGGGAATTCGGGAACAAAAGATCGCTCTCGGTGAAAACGGTGTCTCTTTGTGGTAGCTGGCGAAATTCACCTGGCTACGACATTCTGACTTCGTGCAGCAGAACGAATATTAATTCGTTCGTTGGAAATTTCGAGAGAGAAACGGGGAGGAGTGAGCATACGATGGGCCAGATTGGGTTAAGTAAGGATTGTCGGGTGTTGCTGGATGTCAGGTAACAACAGGACACTTCTTCCATTTCATATATCCTCGTATGAACCTAAAACAACTAGATAACGAAATCCATCGAGATATCTATACATCCTACAATAATAACTATGCAATTCCAAAATGTGGAATACTTAGATTTCTTCCACGAAATTGTCTTCGATTTTATATTTCCCTGCGTTAAACTTTTCATTCTGAACCTAAACTACCTAAACAACGAAATCCATCCAAATCTCCGAAGCGATAAGTTCCACAGACAACCTTGGTCCGCAGTGATCAGCCGTAAATTTAAATGAAGTCCTTAAAATAATCTCGAACGCCAAAGCTCTCGCTTTCGCATGCACCCGTACACACACACACACACACGAGGCTCCCCTTTAATCTCGCGCACGTCCGAGGTAGCAATTACCGGAACAAGTAGAACAGACCCGACTTTTTACAGGGCTAATTTATCTCGCAGCATCATCTCGCAGCACGAGCGTATCTCGGTCGCGTTGCACACGCGGTCACACCGACCTCTATAAAGGTGTTACCCTAAAATTCGTTCCTTCTTACTTCCACCAGCCACGTTATACCCTGTACTTCTTCGCGCTCTTATCCCTCCATCTCTCTTTTTCTCCGAGGAATCCCTCCTTCGTTCGGCGAGACGCGTTCGACCGAACGTTTTGTATTCCAACAGCTTCCGATGGCTTTATTACCGAACGAGATGTTTCCAGAAAAGGGATGGATCTTCTAACGATCCTTTCTGGTTTACGTGTTTCACATGAGGAGAATCTCAATTTTACGTCCTTTCTTCCCGACGCAACGGTCGAATTCCGAAGGATTCACTCATTTCTTCTTTGGTGACTTTGATGTATTTCCGCTTCAGATTTTAGCATGCTGCAGGAGTCGGCAGTGGTGATCATCAGTACGTGTGAAACTGAGCCTGGAGAATCACCGAATCTCAAACATAATCTGAGAGTGTTCAGAAAGCTGATTCCTGTCGTGGCGAAATTCGCCTGCAAGTCTGTGCTGCTAATCGTCACTCAACCGACCGAAGTTATGTCGTACATCGCCTGGAAATTGTCCGGATTCCCTTCGAATCGTGTTCTCGGCGTCGGTACCTTGATCGACTGCGCTAGATTCCAGGATTTCGTGAGCAGAAGGCTGAATATGGCGCGTAGTTCTATTAGCTGCATGGTGGTTGGTGCTCAAGGAGACATGGCTGGTACTTTTCACACGATAATCGACTACTTTTATCGCGTGAGGCACTCAGAAGCTGAAATGATTAACTCCACCTTTTCATATTCTTTCAGAAGAGTTAAGCTCTTCGTAAACAAAGAAAAAATAAATTAGGAGTTAGCCACTTCTGAGTTACTTGTTTATTGAACGATGTGCTTTTCGTAGTTCCTATATGGTCCAGTATTCACGTGGGAGGCATGAAACTTCGGGAGATAAATCCTAGGATAGGGGAACAGGACGACCCTGAGAAGTGGTTCGAAATCGCGGAGAACGTGAAGAACATGTGAGTAATTGCAACGTGCGAGGTTGCGGGACGAGATCTCGCTGTTTTACGCTTATTTTGCGTATACACGTTCCAGTGGCAAGGAGCTGGAGCAGAAGAAGGGATCAAGTTGTTGGGGTGTAGCTGTCGCTACAGCTGAGATCGTCGATGCCATTGTTAGGAACACTAAAGTCGTGCTTCCTGCCTCGACACATATTCTAGTAAGATTATACTTGGAGCATCTCGTTGCTGGAATATCTGGGGTTCTTGTGAACGATTATTCCATCCTGCAAGTCGATGCGATATGCAGAGTGTCTCACTATCTCTCTAAATATTTCTTTTATTTCTGATATTTCCTATGCAACATTGATGGTATCGAAGGACCCATACGCCGCAGAGAATATTCTTGTTTCAAATTCATTTTTTCCACTTGAATATCTCTTTTATTTCTGATATTTCCTGTGCAATTTCGATGGTATCAAAGGACCTATACTGCAGAGAATTTTTTTTCTTCCAACAATTTTCGACAAATGCATATTTCTTCTCTTGCATATTGCAACTAACGTTAAAACGCATTTAAAAATGTATGACATATAACAAAGCCTTGAAGTGATCCTTGACTCTCAAAATAAAAATGAAAAATGTGAAAAGTGTCAACCTTGCAAAAATGAAATGCCCCTTTCCAATTCAATTTTCTAAAATTTCAAAATGCTCCTCTAATTTCCACAAAAAATACAAAATTCCATTCCGTGCAGAATATTCATTCGCCAACCAACGTGTCAATACGCATTCCTTTCCTTTCCCAAACGCCCAAAGTACTCCACATGCCCTTTCTAAAAGTGTCAACCTTGCAAAAATGAAATGCCCCTTTCCAATTCAATTTTCTAAAATTTCAAAATCCTCCTCTAATTTCCACAAAAAATACAAAATTCCATTCCGTGCAGAATATTCGTTCGCCAACCAACGTGTCAATACGCATTCCTTTCCTTTCCCAAACGCCCAAAGTACTCCACATGCCCTTTCTCCCCCCCCCAAAAAAAGACATATGCACCCTCATTTCACCAGTGACAAAACACATGTCCACCGACATACTACAAGCCACCAATTTACACGGTTCAAATGACGAAGAAAATTCGGTTCACAGAGCTGCGCCCACGGGACAGACAAGGACGTGTACATGTCTGTACCCTGCGTGCTTGGCCGTGAGGGTGTGTACTGCACCGTGCGACAGAAGCTGACCGAACAGGAGAAGACCGCCGTACAAGCGTGCGCCGACAACATTCGAAGCGTGCTCAGGGAGTGTGGCATCCTCTCGCAGGAGACGAACAACGATATCGAGCTCTGAGGAACCACGAAAAAGAAGAACAAGTAGAAGACGGTGGAGGAACGAAGGGCCACGCGCTACCGGAAATTGCAACGAGAGAGAGAGAGATCGAACCCGAAGGAAGCAACGTTTTAGAAGGCGTCTTCATCAATAACGAGCGAGCGCACCTGGCGACCGGTTCTCTCTACGTGTACTTGATCGGCGTAATAAATGACAGTACAGGAATCGACTTCCTAGAAAACTATCGGGTCCCTCGCGAACAACCAGTCCTGCTCGTGTACTTTGCGTCGTATTATGAGATGTTCGTGGCGTCTGTCGATGGATCATTCGCGAGTCGATTAAGCGGTGGGATGTGTACGAAGGAATCCTGATTTATCGTACAACTTGCATCATTGTTCCGCGCCACTTGCCGGGATATCAGAGAAGAGGTTTCGGTTTAAATGGATTTTGTAATTGTTAAATTTTTAGCGAGGAAGGAAGTATCTATGGCGAAGGTAAATTGGTAATTTCGTTGAAATGAGCGGAAATTGAAAGGTAATTGTGTACCCCACCTGCGTCGATTTAACAGCTGTCCGTCAATTTCGTCTGTTCACCTTTACCATGAAAAGTGAAAAGAATGATAAAGCTGTCGTTTCTTTCATACACCTTGAATATATTTCTATTCTATCGCGAATGAGTGTCTTTGTATACTGTTGCACAACTTCAAGCTTCACTGTCATTTTCGTTGCTCGATCTCACGAGGGCTAAATTTATAGAGTGTTAAAGAGATCTTCTAGGCTATTGATTTATCTTTCGGTCGTTAAAATCCTCGGGTTGCTGAGTCCTGAATATCAGGTTCATCGATGGCCGTGCCTAAAAAGAAGATACCCGATTCCGCCTGGAACACAGCCACGTTTTTGCTCACCAAGCAGCCGGAAGATTTCGCGGACGGTCATCGCGTTAAAATCGCGATCGTCGGCAGTGGTTACACAGGCGTGGCCGTTGGAATCGCGATTCTCTTCAAGGTTCGTCGAATCTTCCGCTATCTCACTTCTAACCTCTCTCTTTACTCTCATTTCCTCGATAAAAATCCTCAAAATCCGTGATCTCTACTAAAAAAAGAGCGAAAAATTTACAAACACGCACACTGGAGGCACGTGATTCGTATTTGTCCGGAGGAATGATCGTCGAGGTTACGCACAGCCCCCCGAGTATGCATTCTAGCATCGACAAAGGGTTCGGAGCCTGAGGAATGTTCCGGATACGCGTGTGCACCGCGTATACGTGCATTTATGCGAGGAACGAGAGGTCTGAATGTAGGCTCGTTAGTGTGCCAGGATGAAAAAGGGCTATTATGCAAATGATCGACGAAAGCGCAGAGAAGAGGGAATTCGGCGACGAGGCAAGTGAAGATCGGAACGTGAAAGCCAGGCGAAGAGCGAGTTGTGGAAGCTCGAAGGAGAGAAAGAAGCGGTGGGAAAGAGAGACGAAGTAGACGAGGAGGAACGTGCTGCTTCCTTTCGCTCGTTATCGGATCGTAACGCGAGCATTTACACGTCGGACGCCCCCGCAGGATCGCCGCGGAGCTGATTTACGTTAGTCACCAGAGGAGGAAAGCTGAAATCCATACCCGTCTACGAGGACACCCAACCCTTATCGCTCTCGCTCATCCAACAACCGTGGATTATTTTCTCGTGCGTGCATATAAGAGAAGAGTACCTAACCTCTCTCCCTTTCGCAATCTTACGGAAGCGACGATTTAAGCGAACCTTGTACATAAAGGTCTTCCCTTCCCTTTTGTCCATGCAAAATATGCATATAAGAGAAGAGTACCTAACCTCTCTCCCTTTCGCAATCTTACGGAAGCGACGATTTAAACGAACCTTGTACATAAAGGTCTTCCCTTCCCTTTTGTCCATGCAAAATACCCCCCCCCTCTCTCTTTATGAATGACTCTGACATTACGAATCGGTTCGGTGCACCTCGAGAGAGCGGAACCGCTTCGGTAGTTTCTCGTGCACACGCTTTTAACCAGGGTAAAGCACAGCTCGGTTAATCGAATGAGTCACCTAAATTAGAACAAACACCGTTGCATATAATCGTCACACAGATAGAGAGCTCGTGGGAGGAAGGTCGCGGTGGAACGGGGTGAAACCGTCGAAGGAGGTTGGTAATCGGTGTGTGCCAGCAACATTCCGGTAGGAGGTAATGAACGTGGGCGACTAATTCCAGGTTTCGGTTTCCGTGGATCGTTACGAGGGCAAACAATGAAGGCCGCGGATAGACGGACGTTGGAGGCGTATCTCTTTGCTGTCATTAGCCCTGTTTGGCAAAGCGACTCTCTCTCTCTCTCTCTCTCTCTCTACTATACACGTGTATATTGTCCCGTAATAATAACCGCGATATTTCTCTTTGCTACTATTTCACTCTGTCATCATGGTTCGTAATGATAGCTCCGGAGAAGGTTTATGTATACCCCCTTTGGTCCTTGTATAATGATTCTCGTGACGTGAATAAAATAAACATTAATGCGGGATAGTAGGAGTAGGTCGAAGTCGTTAATGTCACCGAAAATATTCCAAGATATACCTAGTGTCGCCTAAGCTACGACGAGATTGGGAGACGAATGTGTAACGGTGAAAAGTGGCAGGGAGGTGCAAAAGAATAACAAGAAGCAACAGGTTGAGGTACCTCGTGAAATTAATAAACGTTAACGTAGAATCGAAGATACAGCAAACTAAACACCGGCGAGACGAATGTGCAAGAGCGCAAAGAAAAAAGGAGGTGAGAAAGAATAAGAAGAAGCTGAGGTAGCGAACGGTGCGGTTGCACCGTTGGTCCCCAGCTTGGCAGATCGCATCAACGAGATGATCGCGAGGTACCAGCGTTCCAGTACCATCTCCGCTGTGTCCACCTTGCGAGCCTACTACGCCCAACCAGCTCGGTAGTACTTGCATAAGACGTTCGTCTTCTTCTTCTTGTTCTCGTCGCTGCTCGACCCGTTGTTACGTGTCATGTACGTCGGGCCGCATTAAATCGTACAAACCATCTCACGAGTCGGTGAGAGCTGACGGTGAAAACCCTTCGTCCTCCGTACTACCTCCTCCCACTTGTACAAACGAAAACGGCAATTTGAAGAAAAAGAGAAAAACGTTAGTCCAGCTCTGGTCTAAAGCCACTTTCTATCTATAGAAATTACAACGAAGACGATCCACCACCGGAAGCATAATAAAACGTGTGACGGATCGAGTGTCACACCTTCGGTGTCCTGTGATCAACCGAACGTCCCTCGAGCGAAATCGACGAGGCTAACCAAGGGTGAAACGCAGCTCGACTCTCTATAGTAGAGGTAACTAGAACCGCATGAGAGACTACGAGAGAAGTAGCAGAGCGATGCGCTCGATTTTGCTCCGATCGAAAATGCAAATTATATACCTGGCTGTCGTCGTTTACCTAACCGTCCGTGAATCGTTAATGCACCGCCAGATATTCCTCGTCTTTCTCACTCTGTCAACCACCATTTGCCCACCACCGCGGTCATGCGTCATTAAAAATCTCGTTAGAAAGTGCACACGGCGGAGAAGGGGAATTTTTTGTAAGTTAATTACCGGGCGATATCGTCGCGCGATACGTGTGGATATTACACGGCCGGATAAGAAGAGGGGAACGAACGAAAGTGCGAGAGGGGGAAGGTGGTGGGAAAAAAAGGAGGCAAAGAAGGAAGGAACAAGGGTGGAAGACAGCGATGGGCCAGCGAGGAAACTTCATCAGCTGCGATATTATGCATGCTGCGGAAGTCATGCTTGATGAAGTATGGTGATTAAGCGGTGTACAATAACAGATTGGAAGCACAAGGGCGTAACGTAATATATTAAGAAGCCCGTTCTCTGTTTGGTAGCCGCGCGGGTTTGCCTTTAACGTGTGAAAGCACCATCTGTCAGAGAAAAATGTGTCCATCTGCTAGCGCGGAAGCGAAAGTGAAGAAACAGAGAACGTTCTTACACGTGTCTCTGTATACGTTCTTTAGGCCTGTTCGCTACGAAAACGGCGCCTCGATACACCCTATTATTCAGCCGGTCGAATTAGACGGTGATTAAGAGAAATTACCGGGGTTGGAAAAAAAGCTGGGTGAACGCGATTGATGGGCGCGAGGGGTGTCGCTCGAGCAAGTTTCCACGCGAAATTATAGACGATACAGAAGTGGCGCATCAATTATAACCGAGGAGGAAACGAGATTTTGACAAATACGTAATCGCCCAGAGCAACGTTCACGATCTTCGATCAATTATACCTTCGCCTCTTCCTTCGAACACGTTCCAACCAACCTTCTAATACCTTCTCTATCTCTCCATCGACCTCGCACCGCGATAGAGAAATTACGCCAACGATAGAAAGTTCCGCCGATATAAACGATCGGTTAATACGAATTTTCTCTGTTACGTTTACACCTAGACTACGAACACTTGATTAAGGTATACATGCACGTATGTGCCAGCTAAAAATGATCTCGAGTAATCTAACAAACACCAGGATAATTACCGACAACGATGAAAAAATCCATAGTTCCATCAAATTCGTGTTACGTAAGGTATCAAAGGAGAGAAAGGAGGGGGGAGAGAGAGAATCGTGACGGAGAGCACCGCCGACAAAGTGGTTCCTCTGCATCAGAGGCGATCAGACCCCTAACGATCCTTCGCATTAAGGGATCGCTCGAATGGCGCGATCGATCGCGAGCTAGCGAGCGCCGGCGCGTACTCTCTTAATGCGATTCCCGGGGGTCTTGATTGCGTAACGATTCCGAGTGCGTAATAACTCTGGCCGTCAGCTAGTTCCCGTTAATTACTCTTTATAATCTTCTGTTTCTGTGCGATGCGGCGGCCTCCGTTGCGCAGCGTCTCGCCTCCGAGCTGGTGTTCATAGACATGAACGAGGAATTGGCGAAAGCCGAGGCGGAAGACATCAGCCACGCGGCGGCCTTCCTTGGAAATCCGAGGATCATCGGTACCAAAGGTGAAAACGAGCCTCACCTCGTCGCGAGGTGTTTCTTTCCTTTTTTTTTTCCTTTCCGTCTACAGATGAGGAAACGGGAGGATGGATTGTAGCCGGTAACTGTGGGATTTTCTCTTGTGCTTTTAGATTGTTCGTTGGCGAGGGACGCGACAGTATGCGTGATTACTGTGGGAGATAAGGCTACGAACGGACAGGATTCGAGCACCGTGCTGCAGAATAATTTGAATATATTCAGGGAAGTGATACCGAACGTGTGCAAGTACGCGCCGAATAGCGTGCTCTTGATTATTACCGCGCCAGGTATTTCTTAAGTGCTTGTTCAGTTTGTTGGCGAGGAGATTTAGTAGGTAAAGAGACGACTAATTGTTGGTTTAGTATGATTTATTCGAGGAATATCGTGTTTAGTTCTATTGAAAATTGGTTTCAATAGGTCAAGAGACGATTGATTGTTCATTCAGTATGATTTACTCATCGAATCTCACAATTTACCTGTTTACCTTTACTAGCCTTTTTACGCCAGCAGCGAAGAATACTTTGTCTTGTTTGAGTCAATTTTGCATATTAGTTTTTCCTTCATTAACGTGGAACTTAATCCCATGTAATGACTTATTGACGAGGCCAAACAAAAAGAAATTTCAAGTATAAGGCAGCCTAATTTTTTCGATTTTTCAATTCCTCAATTTTTTTTATACATATTTTAACTTTACTTCTTATTTAAATATTTCCTTCTCTCTTTACATAATCACCCTCGTGCATTCTATCACCGAGAATAAGGCAGATATGGCAGCCTAATTTTTCCTAATTTTTTAATTCCTCAATTTTTTTATATGTACATACCAAAATAATTGTCAAACAGCCCCGTACTTCTTACTTAAACATTTCCTCCTCTCTTTACATACCGAACGCCCCTCGTCACAGAGAATGCAACGTTTCGTAAGCACCGGCCAAATGTTCCTCGATATCGACGCGCCTCAAGTGGAATAACGATGTCGTATTACATTTCAGTGGACATATTATCGTACGCAGCGATGAAACTCTCAGGCTTCCCGCCACACCGAGTCGTTGGACTTGGCACGTTTTTGGACAGCTGTAGGTTTCAGTACTTCATCGCGCAGAAGCTCGGAATTTCGGCGAAAGCTGTACAAGCCAGTATAATTTGCGAGAACGGGCCTACGTCTGGTAATATTGTACAAAAGAATCACAATCTCCTACGATTATCGGTCTTATCGTTGAAACTGTACGTATCTTAACAAACGCTGTTTGAAACGTGGATGGAACAGTGCCTATATGGTCAGCTGTGACGGTAATGGGCATTAAACTGAAAGACATCAACAAAGACATAGGCACCAAGGCGGACCCGGAGTCCTGGGGCGAGCTGCACAACAAAGTAATCGATTGCGACAGCGATCTTATCTCGAGGAAGGGTTATCGCTGCTGGGGCACCGGTATTTGCGCCGCTGAGGTTGTGGACGCCATCGTGCGGAATACCTGCATTTGCATCACTCTATCCACGTATCTGAAAGTACCGTTTCGGACTAATTGAATTTACCTTCTATCAATTTGTACCGGGATATTAACTCTTTCGCGGCGGACGGTTCTGACGCGAGAGCCTTAAGCCGCGTATGTACCATATGTAATAGCAACGCGTTATACAGAAAAATTGTAGAATTTGTCTATACAAGATTATGTTAAGCAAGTTGTACGTCAGCCATCGAGAGTCGGTGGAGATCAAGGACAGTTACAAAATATAGAAGACTTTAATTCTTTTATTTTTTAATATATAGGACTTTAACCCTTTCATTTTTCTTTACCTTAACCCTTTGAATATTTGGGTGCTCTGTGACGTTAGAACCTTTGGTGCACTTCCACCTTAATCTAATCCTTAATTTCTCCATTTGTGCATCCTCGTTTAAAGTTAATGAAACAAATTTTGAAACGAGACGGGCAAAATAAAAAATTTTGCGACTGTGGTTGAATATCTTTCATCTACCGCGGCGAAAGGGTTAAAACGACGTAGAATTGCCTATAATTACGTCAACGACTGCCAAAATTCTGCTTATCGACTTCCAGGGTTGTCGTCACGGCCTAGAAAAAGACGTCTACATGTCTCTACCTTGCATAATCGGCAGAAACGGCATCCAAACTCTACTCCGTCATCCCTACACCCCCGAAGAACAGGAGCAAACAGAAGCGTCATGTCGAGCCATCTACGAGACCCAAAAATCCAATGTAAACGGTCTAGAATAAAATTCGTCCGCTGTATCACGCAGTCTCTTATCTATCCCGCAAATTTACACGCTCATTAACAGAACCAAGATTACAAACGCTTAAACCCAGAACAAGATACCGATTCATCTCGAGTAAACAAGCACCGAGAGTGAACTTCTCTCCGCGAAGCGTGGAATAAAAGCGCGACGAGGGCGATCTCGCGACTCTCTTTATTGCGCTCGCGCCTGGATCAGTTAAGAAGATTTCTGCGGAATGCAGAAGAGCCGCGCGTATAACGTTACCCCCCCGGTACGAATCTGGAGAACGATCGCAGGCAGCGTTTGTTTAATCGAATCCTCGTTTAGTTCGTTGCACACAGGCAAACCGTTGCACCCGGACGAATAGGGGAGGCGCTATAAATCGCGGGCGCACGCCACTCGCCACGATTTCGGCCAATTTGCCGAGATTAATGCGGACCGTCGGTAATTAATTGGCCGGCGTAGCCTCGCCGGTTAACAGTCCCGCCAACGGCGACCAGACATGATGAAACGATCGCTATTACAAACATAAAGCAACGCCAGTTTCGAGGCCGCGACGGTCAACGATACCCGGCAATCTGTTATAAAATTCGTTTCTCGCCGATACCGGCCCTTTTGTCTCTGTCAGCCGTGGCATTAGTCAACGTGTTCTCTCGCTTTCGACGCTACCGTCGAACGCTCGACATATTCGATAAAGTCGTTCTCTCCGAACGACAGAGATATACAGAAAACGAGAAGAAGAAGAGAGAGAGAGAGAGAAAGGGAGTGACGAAAAAATACATCGTGTTCAATAACGAATCCGACAGCGGTTCCTACTTAACCACAGCTCGTACAGGTGACCAGAAGAAGAAGAAATTTATTCATGGAATTCAGCGAGGCTTCGTTTGTCGCGGGTTAACGTATATATACATATATACGTAGTACGCGGTTCGAAATAATCGACGGTGATTCATTACCACAATTACACAGTCGAAATTTCATCGGTGCAAACGAGAGGCAAGTGGAAAAAGCGCGTGAAACAGAGACGCGACCGTGGTAACCGAAGCTATACCTGCTGCTTTTTAATGGCTCTCCCTCTCCCCCCTCCGAGCTTCGTTCCTCTTTCACGACTTTGTCATTCTCGAAACTTACGGTCCAGGACCGTAAAGCTGCGCGAAGGTAGCGGTGGCTGATAATATTAACCGGTGGGCTTCGTTGTCGTCGAGTCGCGCGGCTAACCACCTTCGTGGTACGCGACAGGAGCACGAGGACACGTCGGTGATTCATTATCCATGCTAACGAATGTGCGTTACGAGAAAGAGGGAGAGGAAAGAGACGAGAGAGAGACGAGAGGAGGTGTATATAGGAAAGGGTTTCCTGTGGCTGGAAGCCACACCAATAACGACGGGGAGCACGACAACGTCTTCATCTCCGACGAGGCACTCGGGCTTCTCTTCTCAGGCGAAGCCATTTTTCTGTATTATCTCGATGACGCGTCCCGGGTACATAATTTATACCGCGGCGCGCGATTATGGATCTAATGACGTAATTCCGTGCGTCGACGTTCAGAACTGACGACATTGTTCTACTTCGTTCCTGCGTTTCACTTTCGGAACGTGGAAATTAGAACGTCAGTCGAGGAGCCAATATGGAATACTCGGTTTTTCTGGAACGTGGTATCTTTGTGCGCATTGAAGATAAATTGAAAGAAGGCGAAGTAAGTTAAAAAGAAGTAAGGGTTTGAGAACAGGGCTGTGGAGAGTCAAATTATTCGAAAGATTCGGATGATTTCAAACATGACTTCTTTATTCGGATATCTGGAATATTAGAATCGAAGATTTAAGGCTTTCACGTCCCGGAGCACAATTATTATCGAGGCTTCAGTCCAAGTATTCCGATTTCAACTTCTCTTCATCAACCGAGTGACCTTGGGAAAAATCGAAGAATCGATCCAGCCTATAGCGCATATCCCCACCGCGAAACAGCGTTCGCCGAGTAATAATTTGACCACGACTAGCGCGAGGAAAATTCATATTCGACGAAGGGGGTGGGTGAGCGAAAAAGAGGGAGGATCCCGAGGACATCGTTCACCTGTGGAACACCGCGGTAGGTACTACTAATTACTGTACTTTTTATTTCGTCCCGACATAATGCCTGGCCGGTTCGGTCCACCGCGAGAGCCAAGAGAGAAAAAAAGAAGAACGTGTGTAGGAGTAAAAAGGGAGAGGGACCAGCCTCCTGTGGCTATGTGGCCCATGGAGAACAATTTCTCCCCTATCCTCCGGCCCCCCGCCAGTGCAATATCCGATGCGTTTGGATCATTTATGCGGCGACCACGACACCGATCCTAAAGCATTCGGACGGCGTCGTAAAATCGCTAGGAGAAGAGAGTGTGGGGAGGCAAGGTTGGTTCTTGATTGAGTTACGATTTAATTAGTCCGCGCGGCCAATCAGTAATTAAGATATCCGCTAATCAACCGACCCGACCCCCCTTCGATCTCTCTTCTCTCCACCCTATAGTGTGTGCATTAGCTCAGTGTGTTGCTGCTCCCCTTCCGAACATTCTCTACCTTTTCCTTCCTTCTTCTTCTCCCTTCCTTTCTTCCGCCCAGTTTCTCTACTACCTTATCCTTCCTGCTTCCCGGTTGCCCGTTCGGCCAGTGAATCAATCGACCGCGAGTGGTCCGTGGGTTCGGCAGCCCGGACGATTTTACGTCCGTGATTAATCCTCAAAAAGGAAGAGAACCGCCGGAGGGATGGCAAAAAGAAGATAGATAGGGGAAATGGTGGGAGGGATTTGGTCCTCGTTATGCAGACTAGTTCTATAATCCTTGACTCCGTTCAATGGTTCTTCTTCCAACGGTGTTCACGGGGTACAGTGGCGTTCAGAAGTATTGGGACACTCAGGAATGTTGTATGATTTGAATTACAGTTTTTTGGGTCTCGATAATTTTCCGATGATTGTTTAAGTTTCAATTCAGATATCTCGTAGATTTTTTTCGCAACGTTTAGTACCACGTATCTGCAAAAATTGATGCGCTCCTTATATTACGAGATTCTAGGGCTGAATAATTTTCTTTTACGATCTCAAGAATTTTGTGACGACTGTCTACGCTTGAATTCAGAAATCTCTTAACTCTCTTCGCCAAATTTAGTATAGGTACGTTTGTTGTATTAAAGATTCTAAGCTAATTTCTTTGGATCCTCTGATCTCGATAATTTTGCGGCGACTGTCTACGCTTGAATTCAGAAATCTCTTAAATTCTTTCGCCAAAATTAGTATACGCTTGTTACATTGCAAGATTCTAGGCTGATTCCTTGGATCCTTTGATTTCGATAATTTTACCAGTGCTCGCTTCAGATTAATTTTGAAAGGGAGTGTACGAGGCTCCTTTTTCTTCGATTTCGTAGAAGGTGGATAATCATTGCTACCAGGGTGTAGTGGATTCGTTGATGATGTATGAAATTGCAGTGATTTTAATGGAAAATTAATATCCTGTCAATGGGAAACAGCGTAAGATAGTTGGAACTTTGGTATTCAGATTTAACGATCGAGGGTACCCCTGTGTTGCTCTAAAATAGATGTCACTTTAAGCGGAGTAGGACGTGTCCAGGCGAACCTCAGGTAGAAATCAGGGTGAGATTAATCACCTGTTCGGGTTCTTGCTATAGCTCTGGCTGCACTTGTTACCTCATTAAATCAAATATATGGTACCAGGTCGTACGGAAAACGAGCCGTAATTCATAATAACTGCGACAGTTATGCACCGTGTGCACGCCCTGTGTGACAAATATTCTAAGTAAGCGTTTAACGTCGCAGCCTTGCTTCGAGAAAGGGCTACTTGATAGCGAGTACATACATAACGAGAGTCTATAATTCTTACTTTCGTTACCAACGCATCAAACTAACATTCAAGTCTTTTCCACGTTAACAATAATTTTCCTTCTTTCACAAGCTTTCTATGGAATTTTATAATTAACATTTGAGTGTTCTCTGAATTTTAAAACACAAATTTGTGCCTTTCACAAATTTCATTTTGCTTCCTGACCAACTCGGCGATCCAAGAGCAACGTCAATACCCGCACAAAAATAATTTCCAAATGCAAAAATACTAAAAATTGATAAAAAAGAAAAAATCGTCAGAGGAGAATCTTCATAACCGCGTCATCTATCGGACCCACGAAGAACCCGAACTCTGACATAGGTAACCCACAGAAACCTTCGCTCGATTCCACAGTACTACTTGGTTCCCTTTTTTCAACGCCGTCGGGCACGACATTGCCGAAGGAAGTTGATCACCGTGCAGCCAATGACCGTCCACCAATAATCTCTCTCTTGGAAGGTTTTTCTCAATTTTTAAACGTCGATCCCGTTTCCACACGCGCGCCACCGTTCGAACGAGCGAAAGCTCGATACGAATTCGGGCAACGAGAAGGGGTTTTTTCTTCGGAGAGCGAGATTAAACGTGGTATCTGTACGCGGTGTGCGTGAGATAGCGTTGATTGTAATTAATAGCCGAGCATTGCGTTAGCCCTGCAGCCGGTTAATTGTCGAGGGGAAGATTAATGGCGCGAAATCACGCCAATACCGGCCGATTGTCCGAAACCGATCACCCTGTCCCGATTCGTGCTTTCGTGTTTCGAACGTGGCGAAACTCGTTTCTCGTTACACTTGTTCCCAACGATAAAACGAACGCTGCGCGGAAAATTATTCGCGACCGGTTAGATACACCCCGCGATATTTTTATCTCAAACTCTCCAAACTGTCTCTCTCTCTCTCGCTATCTTTCTCTATCGTGAAATTAATTAAGATTTATTAGACGATGTCTGGGTATCGTATCGAAGCGTTAAATACTTCGCACCTGTCGTTTCTAACGTGTCCACTCACCAACCGAGAATTATGACGTCGCGGGATAGGAAAAAACCGGTTGCTTTCCGCGAGATCGTAAGAATGTGAATAGGTAGGTAGGCGAACTACGGTTGAATATGCAATTCGTAGATATTTCATGGATTACCGAGGTA